AGATTCCTCGGATTTGGGTAAAGTCACAGAAGATTGGAAATTTGTGAATTTAACACCTTTATTCATAAAGGGAGACACACAAAAATAACTGGTAACTATAGGTCAGTTAGCTTCATGTCTGCCATTGGAAAAATGTTAGTCTACTATAAAGGATGTAATTGCTTAACATTTAGAAATACCTAATAAAATAAAGCAGCCAACATGACTTCACGAAGGAGAAATCATGCCTGACAAATTTATTGTAGTTCTTTGAGGAAGTAACAAGCAGGATAGTTAAAAGGAACCAGTAAATGTAATTTAATTGGATTTCCAAAAGGTGTTTGTTAAAGTACCACTACCCTTTGCAATCTTGGCTGATAACTCCGTTCCATTGCCCCCTGACTGATGCGAAACATACATACAATTCAGCCCATTCTCAACCAGTGCCCTTGTGGGGCAGACAATAAGCCTGCTGAAGATGAGGTTCCCATGAGGTTTGGTGGGGAGTGGGGCTTACACAATACTGTCTTTCAGTACAGTTCAGACAGAGTGTGCTACATAATCCTGACATATTGTTCTGTACAACTGGAGCAGGCAAAGGGGATGAAATGGACTCTGAACAGCAAGTAGAGCAACAGCACTTTTCTGAGGAGGACGATGAGGACAAATCAGCAAGGGGAACATCATCTTTATCATGATACAGCAGTGCAGAATCAGGTACAACAAGCCAGGCAGGATTTAATTGACAACTGCTTCTAATAGTTCGGAGTTGGATGAAGTGAAAATTCATTGGTTGCAAATTTGTCATTGCTCAAACTAAGCAGTTTCTGATTAATCTCAGAAGCAAATGCGACTTTTCATTATTTGTTTTCTCTTTACTCTTCGTATTGTTCAATAAATGTTAACAATTTTAATTGTTTAAAAGCTTTCCAACATGTGATGCTCCCACACCGAACAATAACAGGGTGTTCAGCAAAGCTGGGCATTAAGGAAAAAGTCACACTTGTGTAGAGAGGGTTCTAACATTGTATGGTCACTAAGAACAGGCAGTCTATACAATGAGAGATAGCAGGAACTGCCGACGCTGGAGTCTGAGACAACAAGATGTAGAACTGGATGAACACAGCAGGCCACGCAGCATCAGAGGAGCAGGAAAGCTGATGTTTCGGGTCTGGACCCTTCTTCAGATTTCATTTTTGTAGCTGCCATTACAATGGCAGTTGATCAGACAAGTGATAACACCATTGTGAGCTTCTGATTCCAATGGAATGTTGCCCATGCCACTTGTGCCCAAAGAAGCTTTTCTTTTTCATGTTTCATTTCCCTCCCACTAAGTGTACTGCAAAGGGCTACTTGTGGCTGACAGTGATTGATCTGCTACAGAACTGGGCATCAGCAACATTAGTCCTGGAATGTCCAGACAGAGGCGAATACTTCTGCCACTGGTGAACATACAAGAGTGAGAGTATGGCCCCATGGAGGATAGTGCAGACAAAATGAGGTGAGCAATGGAGAACTGTGTAAAATAATCACAAGAGTCCACTGAGAGAAAACTTCCATGAAACACTCTGAAAGTGACACTCAGCCAATTCGAAAATCAGCATTTAAGAGTAAACATAAATGATTTGGCAAGGCAAGTGGCATGCCACAGGGATCAGCTGGGCAATAAATTCTGGCCTAGTCATCTATGCCCACATCACATGAAAGAATGAATGGAGAGTTCAACGGAGAGTGCAGGAGGGCATGCTAGGAGCAGCACCAGGCATACCTGAAGATGAGGTGTCAACCTGGTGAAGCCACCGAAACAGGACTACTAGCATGCCAAATGGCATAGGCAGCAAGTGATAGATCTGATCGTTTAGCTCTGTCTAAGTTCTGCAGTCCTGCCACATCCAGTGATGAATAGTGGTGGAAAATTAAATAACTCACTGGAGGACGAGGCGGCTTCACAAATACCCCCATCCTCAATGATGGAAGAGCCCAGCACATCAGTGCAAAAGAGAAGGCTGAAACTTTTACAGCAATCTTCAGACAGGAGGGTGAGTGGATGATACATGTCGGTCTCTTCCAGTGGTCCCCAGCATTACAGATACCAGTCTTCAGCCAACTTGATTTATTCCATATAATATTAAGAAACCTTTGGAGACACTGGATACTGCAAAGGCTATGGGCCCTGGCAACATTACCATGATAGTAGTGAAGACTTGTACTACAGAACTTGCCACTCCCGTAGCAAAGCAGTTCCAGTGCAGTTACAACACTGGCATCAACCCTACAACGTGGAAAATTACCAAGGTATGTCCTGTACATAAAAAGCAGGATAAATTCAACATGACCAATTGCCACCCCATCAGTCTATTCTTGATCATCAGTAAAGTGATGGAAGGTGTCACCAACAGTACTATCAAGCAGCACCTACTCAGAAATAACCTGCTCAGTGACGCCCAGTTTGGGTTCAACCGGGGCCATTCAGCTCCTGACCTCATTACAGCCTCGGTTCAAACATGGACAAAAGAGCTGAATCCAGAGGTGAGATGAGAGTGACAGCCCTTAATATCAAGGCTGCATTTGACCGGCTGCATCAAGAAGCCCTGGATCAACTGGAATCAATGGGTATCAGGGGGCAAACTCTCTGGTTGATGGAGTCATATCTGAAACAAAGAAAGATAGTCATGGCTGTTGGATGTCAGTCATCTCAGCTCCAGGACATTTCTTGAGTACCTCAGGGTAGAGTCCTTTGCCCGTCCATCTTCAGCTGCTTCATCAATGACCTTCCCTCCATCATAAGGTCAAAAGCAGGGATGTTCGCCAATGATTTCACAATGTTCAGCACCATTTGTGCCTCCTCAGATACTGAAATAGTCGATGTTCAAATGCAACAAGATCTGGACAATATCCAGGCTTGGGCTGACAAGTGGCAAGTAACATTCACACCACACCAATTCCAGGCTATGACCATCATCAATAAGAGACAATCTAACCATCGGCCCTTGGCAGCCAATGGTGTTACCATCACTGAAATCCTCATTTACCAGAAACTCAGTTGGACTCACCACATAAAGACAGTGGCTACAAGCGCAAGTCAGAGGCTAGGAATACTGTGGCGAGTAACTCACCTCCTGACTCCCCAGAGATTGTCCCCCAATTCACAAGGCACAAGTCAGGAGTGTGATGGGATACTCCCCACTTGCCTGGATGACTGCAGCCCCAACACTCAAGCAGCTTAACACCATCCAGGACAAAGCAGCCCGCTTGATTGGCACTACATCTACAAGCATCCACTTCCTCCACCACCAACGCTCAGCAGCAGCAGTGTGTATTATCTGCAAGATACACTGCAGAAATTCATCAAAGATCCTCATACAGCACCTTTCAAACCCATGACCACTTCAAGAAGAACAAGGGCAGCAGATATATGAAAACACCACCACCTGCAAGTTCCCCTCCAAGCCATCCTGGCTTGGTAATATATCGCCGTTCCTTCACTGTCGCTGGGTCAAGATCATGGAATTCCCTCCCTAAGGGCATTGTGGGTTAGCCTACAGCATGTGGCCTACAGCAGTCCAAGAAGGCAGCTCACCACCACCTTTTCAAGGGCAGCTAAGGACAGGTAATGAAAGCTGGCCAGCCAGCCAGCAATGACCACATCCCACAAATGAATAAATCGAAAAAAAAAATGGAAACATGTAATTTGTATTATGCATTGCAAAACCTGTAGCTACAACAATTGGAAATTAAAAGTAATCAGTATAATAGAGCTTCATTCTGATCGCATAGAGACAGATAACGTTCACAAAGAGTAAATTTGAACTTTTAGTTACAAGATGAAAGATCGCCTAAGATTTTACATTTAAACACATTTTCTGTGACAAACACTAAAAACAGTACTGACATAACACTACTTTTGCAGGCAAATTATACTTTAGACTAGAGAACAGAACTACTAACATAACGATGGGAAAAAAACATGAGGAGATTTATGTTAAACTGTCCTTTTTAGATTTTCAATTCTTGTAGAATTAGTCTAAAATGATTCTTCACACCCCAGAATTTACTTTGGATCCTTTCCATTCTCAGCCTGCAAATATTAAGCTCCAGGCCTGTCTTTAAGTTGTGAGCTTTATAGGGACTTCTCCCTCCTGCTAAAACATTGCTAATCTTCCAGCATCATTTTAACTCCCCACAAGTTTGGTGTTTCCAATCTGAGTAGAAGCTTCCACCTGCACCCCAGCCTGATGCACCATAGAGATTTTAAGTGTTTAGCTGCTCTTATAAATGCGTGATATTGAATAAGGACCAGGAGTAGACCATTTGGCCCCTTTATCCTGCAGTAAGATCAAGGCTGATCCCTTACAACCTCCCTCCACAGATAAGCTGACCCAACTGTGGAAGACAATGGACTGTATCCCACTATATTGCGGATTCTGGAAATCTGAAGTAAAAGCAGACAATTCTTCAGATATGGGGGTAGGAAAGAATATTTTCTCTTTCATCTAATGCATTGCTACAAGCACAGTCAGGTGCCTCGCATATTTATCTTGTTAGTTTGATGTCCTCAAATTTTAAAAATGACCTGTACCTACACAAAGATTATTTTGCAAAAGAATTAGGACAGCTAATAAAATAAATGAACTTGTACTGAGATGAGATAAAAATATGTTGAAATGCTGACCCGAGCTGTATGTCAAATCTGCCTCCGTTTCCCTGGTGAGTCATTCAAGATTGAGGAAATCCAAGGCTCCATCTTTTACTCCAACCAAGATTCAACAACATCTAGAAATGGCTTGTAGGTGTTTTCTAAGGACATTAATTGCACTAGTAAATGTCTGTCTGCACTCAATTATTAAATCCCTGATGCCGATTTAGACACACCTGCTTCTTTGCAACGTGCAAATGCTTCCCTTATCCAGATATTGGAACATCTGAGCCATACCGCAATATTGCTCTAAATACCACAAATTTTCAGCTCCCACTTGTTTTCAGGGTTCCCATTAAAAAAAAAACATTTGTCAAGGGCTTACTTGCTTGATGCTCCATGAATGTTTGTTAGTACCGAGAAATTGCTCCTTACACTTCGCAAGCTGGCCAATACCTAAAACAAAAGTGCACTATGGTTTATTCATACAATTTAAAGATTACTTTGCCCAGATAAATCAACACGTAGAAGTGTTTCTTGATTGGAAATTAAATCAGAAATGTGAATAAGGTGCTCGGTTCAAATACCTTTCCAAGTTAAGGCAACTAGCTGGACAGCAGTTGTGGTGCTATAATCATACGTACTGAGAATGAAACTGAGTTGCAGAATCACTATTTGCCCATTTCATGTGACTGGAAATGACCAATTTCACTCCCACTGACCCAAGGGAAATCAGGAGAAAAAAAATTAAGGGATTATGTTTAAATGTCATCCAGCCATACTTGTGGGGAAACATGCTATGTGGACAAATTATCCTCTAGCATTCATTGCTGAATCATGTCCATCGACCATCATACAGTGACTGGGGGTGGAACTGCCCAAGTATAAAACAGTTAAGAACTTAGTTGCGACATCTAAAAACCCACTGAAATATCTGAGGGGATTTCTTATAATTAAACATTTTTAGCTAAGTCTGAAAAACAAGGGCATATGTAGTTTAGATAAATGATAATATGTCCACTGAGTTTCAAAGGGGTATGTAATGCACTTCAATACACTTCACATACTGATGTCAAGTGGAGGATGGTAGAGCATCGCCTGAACAATTCACCACCAAATTCCATCTGTGCTTGCTGGGCAACTGACAGAACTAGAATAGAAAAATATATCCACTATTTAGGCAGGGTACTAGTAGTCAACTACTATCTTTATGTTTATGCCCCAAAATGAGCTATTGCTCTCAAGAGACAAGAGGAAAATCACAAACCATTTATTTTGTCAGCTGTGAGGAAGAAACTGAATTATTGGACAACTCTTCTTAATAAGGAAGTAGTAAACTTTCAGAGGGAATATAAACCTGTAGATCACATGTGGACAGACTCTCAGTGTCAAACTTCAGAGTGGCATTCTCAGAATTCCGAGAACAGGTGGTCTGGTTGCTAAACCAGTGAAACGGTAACAAAATAAAGGAATGAAAGAATATCTGACGTGAAAGAATGTATATGCTCAAATAAGAGTTCAGGAAATATATCCCTATTTTATGACAACAGCAGTTAAAAATTAAACCTACCTGTGCAAATGGTGTAACTATCAAGTCATCTCCATGTCTGGAAATATAAAATGAAACAAAGGCTAGTCAATTATTTTATACTGTGACAAACATTTTACAATTATTGGATGTCATTCAGCACTAATCATAAAATATGAATACTCTGGCATTTCTCCCAACTCTCCCAATTTGAATTTATAATTATTAGAATCCTAAAGATTAATTTAAATAAATTAGGTTAGAAATACTTGGTAGGATGCCATTATATCCCACTATACAAGCTCTGGTCGTAGGCACCACAATCATTATATTCAATTTGGTCATCACAATATTAGGAAAACATTCACAGGGGAGTTGTCATCACAGTTAAAATGCACAATTAACATACAACTTTTGATTTGAATACCTGACTCATTCATAGGCTAAAAAATCATTTTTAAAAAAGACACTACTGGCCTAAAGTGGCTGCTGTGATCATCTGAAAAGCCCAGGCAACCCACATGAAATATGCAAATGTAGAGGCTCCGAAGTGGCTATTTCAAGGAATTTGCATCTTTTGTCTCACTCATACTTGCATGAGAAATTCACACATTGAGAGATGAAACGTTGCCTACAACCTTGAATAAAATGATGCCACAGACACCAGAATCCACAAAGAGATAGCGCAGAGAGAAAACAACATGAACTTCATTTCTGAAGAAGGGTCCCGACCCAAAACGTCAGCTTTCTTGGTCCTCTGATGCTGCCTGGCCCACTGTGTTCCTCCAGCTCCACAGTTATCTCTGACTCCAGCATCGGCAGTTCTTATTATCTCTGTCATGGACTGTTAACAGCAAGGATACTGAAAGCTCTTCTCTACTTTCTCTCAAAATCAGGAACCAGCTGAAGAAGAGCAACTTGGAACAATAAAACCTATTTACAGAGAATTCCAAGACATGGATAGCTTCACCACTACCTTCTTTCATTTAAAACTTTATTAACCATGTTTGTGTGCATGTGTTTGTTGTTGCATTTTCAGTTTTTTCTCAATATGACAGGTAATAAAGCTCCATTTGCTTTACTCAAGAAAACTTAGCACTGCCTCTGCTTCAATTCTAATCTGGTTAACTAAGTTCAGTTAAAGTGTCAAAAACAAAAATTGCTGAAAAACACTCAACAGGCCTGGCAGCATCTGTGGGGCAAAAGCAGGTTTCAGATCCAGTGACCCTTCTTCAAAACAGAAGGCAAGATAATGTTCTGAAGAAGGGTCATTGGACCCAAAACTTGCTTCCTCTCCACAAATGCTGCCAGACCTGCTGAGGTTTTTCCAACAATTTCTGGGTTTTTTTTTTTCAGATTTCCAGCATTTTGCAGTTCTTTAACTGAACAAAAAATAAAACTGAAAGTGTGATAGCTAAGTGCTAAAAGAGAATTTATTTAAAAAAAAAATCAACCATCCAAAGAGAGTCAAGAGTGAAATTAAGCTGAAGGAACAAGGTACATGGAGCAGCCATGTTGTGGACCCTGCGTGAAAGAATTCATTTATGAGCAAAGAACTGAAGTATATTAAGCTAATGAAAGGGCAGCTGAAAGGGAACCTTACACATAAAATACTAAATGGTTGAACGTAGAGTATCATTACCTTATAGGCTGAAACCAGTGAAAAGCAAATTCAAAATATCAAGAAAAATTTCTTCAAGCAAAGAATTAAAATTATTTGCAATATTGTGAGCTGTTGTCATCTCCTATTGAATTAATCCCGCAGCACATCATTCGGGGAATAACTTTGTCAATCTCCTTCCTGTTCAATTCACTTTTTCCATTGCTGACCCTGGGGCCTCCAACAGAGGATCTCATCCCACCTCCAAGATGTCTGCTCGCTTTTGAGCAAGGCCCTTACCATCAATGAATATATTGTGGATGATTGTATCAATATCATGGTTTTAATGGAAAACAAGATGAGGGGTCAAAAAAAAAAAAGGCACTCGAGCCCACCATCCGTGCAAATTACTGTCCCTTCCTCTGCAAAGTCCTTGTATGTATTAATTGTTCACAGAATAAGAGAACACATTTAAAACTGAGGTGCAAAGGAATTTCTTATGAGCATTGTGGACACTAGACCACTAGATGTATTTAAAGAGCAGGTAGATAGATTTTTGAAATATCAGCGACATTGCGGCTATGAGGAGCTAGTATGAAAGAAGAGTTGAGGAAGATCAGCCATGATTTTGTTGGAAAGGTTGATGTAGGCTTGAGGGGCATTCATTTATTAATAAAACTACTTCACCATTTTCTGAAGAAGGGTCCAGACCTGAAACGTCAGCTTTCCTGCTCCTCTGATGCTGCCTGGCCTGCTGTGTCCATCAAGCTCTACACCTTGGTACCTCACCTCCGTTTCCTTTTTGCCTGTTCTGAAGTATCAAATAAATATTGAGTATTGAGTTTCTAGTTTTGGCCACTGTGACCCTTCCTCTGTAATAGCAATCAAGGCAGTCATTCATTTCTATTTGTGCTGTCAACTCATCTGTTTTATTACAAATGTTGCTTGCATTCAGATTTAAAAAAAAAGGAGCCTTAAGCTTTGATCACGCTCTCTGGTTCTAATTTCTGCTGCACTATTCTGAATATATCTTCTCCCTCTTCCTATTACCCTCTGATTATTGTTAGCCTTTTCATTACCCTACACTTAGGAATCTCATTTATTTTTATTATTTAAACTTCCCATCAATTGAACATGCCCTTCACTAATTACTTTAAAACCCTAGTTATACAATTTGCCAGGACACTAATCCTAGTATGGTCCTAATTTCTCCCACACCAATCTTTAAACCACATACTTAGCCCTACACTGTATTATTTAGACTATGCCAATTTGCACATGGGTCAGATAGTGATCTGGAGATCACCATCATTGTGGTTCTGTATTTTAATTTAGCCCCCAACTGCACATAATCCCTCAGCAGAGCCATCAGACAGTATTTACACGGATCTATTTGTATCTATTTGTAGAGAGAGAATTAAACAAGGCAATTTGTAACTAAAAGGGTTACCTGACATCACAAGTTCCACCTGTCATGACATAAAGGGCTACTCCTGGGAGGAATTAACAGAACAACTACAACTCTGGTCATCTCTAAGTTCTATATCAGAATGTTCTAATTGCAATAATGTTTACATAATCTTGATATGAGTCTGATGTCTTAGAAGTGACTATCATGCATCTCAGGTGTAATACAACATGCTAATAAATAAAGGGATAAAGCTATTTACTGCTCATCATGATTGAGCCAATTTTCCTTCAAAAAATGTTTTGCAGGCATCTTTATCCACATGGTATGAAGCCTAGAATGCAAGGAGCTATAATCGACAAAGGACCATGGGAATCTTTCTCCATAAGAGAAAGATTATTGGCTATGTATAGCTTAAGACAATGTATAGTCTTTGATTCTGCACCAGACACTAGTGATCTAGCCAACAGAACTAACTGACCTCTCCCCCCGCCCCGCAATAGGTTAGACTAATATTAACATGGATTGCTGGCAGTGAATCCACCCAAGGCATCTCAGGAACTAGCACCCCATCTTTTATCAACTACCACTAAATTGGTTACAATAAGGTTAACTTAAAAGGATTCCTTCTCTTCTGGATAGCTTTGACCCAGACCAAAATTTATATTTCAAAGGAGACACTTTAACAAGGCTTTCTTAAATTAACAAAGAGTTATTAATTACACCATGCAAGAAGAAATAGTAACACAACATGCATACACACTGTGAGAAAGAAGGGTGAATTCAAAATGATGAAATTTAGATGTATGGATTATCTCTCAAATGTTTGTGAAGAGTAAATAGTTGAACATTGTAGCTGTTGCGTTAGGGCTACTGTTCGTGTTGATGGTAATATTTAATTTCATATTTAAATTAGTTTCAGATCCTTAGTTTTGCAGATTGGTTGAGATTCTTTTGTTCGGATTCCTTTGATTGGGATTGAACTCCAGCATTCAGGATAAGATAGAGCCCTTTTATTGTCCTGTTTCCCTTGTGTCTGGTTGGCAGCTAGCTGACATCTAGAACTCAATATAAGAGAGGGCCTTTGTCATCAACACAGGGGTGGCTAGGGGATAGTTCTTCGACTGTGACCTTCACAGCACGCTAATGCTTGAACCCAGGTTAGTACACACAAGAATGTTCATCCCATTAACACAGTCCAGCAGAGTTGAAACTATTTTTTAACCCCCCTCCTTGTATATTCTTCAAAGGGAATGTGGGACATATCTGTAGAGAGTGGCTTGATTTTGAGCAGAGGTTTTATCAGCCATTTGTATTTTTGTAGTTACAGGGTCACAGTCCAGTCTCTCAGTTTTTTTTGACACGTTCAGGTGTTACATCCCATTAGCCCCACAGTTTTTGCCAATCTGCCACTTTAATTGACACTGTAGCAGTCCTGTATTTAAAAAAAAAAATACACATTTTGGAATTAAGTGCTAAAATCATCCAATGTACTTTGGGATTCCAACACATCAGTATAACAAAATATAAATTACTCTCAATGCTAATGTTTTTGGTAGGATATTGAAGCAAATACTTAAGTCATTTAAAAGACTGTTTGATGCATTAATAAAGTGCTTTGCAACTCAATGGGGGGGGGCGGGGAATTTTCCCCTGTTGGGGTATGGTAAGCAACGTTGGGACAGTGGGACAAATATGGCGAGTCGTAGAGTCATACAGCATGGAATCAGACCCTTCAGTCCAACCAGTCGATGCTGAACATAATCCCAAACTAAACTAGTGCCACCTGCCTGCTCCTGGCCCATATCACTCCAAACCTTTCCTATTCAGGTATCTATCTAAATGTCTTTTAAACATTGTAATTGTACCCGCATCCACCACTTCCTCACGAAATTCATGCGACACACAAACCACCCTCTGTGTAAAAAATTTGCCTCTCATATGTTTTTTAAATCTCTCTCTTCTCACCTTAAAAACGTGTCCCCTAGTCTTGAAATCCCCCATCCTAGGGAAAACATGACTACCATTAACTCTATCTATACCTCTCATTATTTTATAAACTTCTATCAGG